AAAAAGCAATCAAAAGACAACAGTGCAATATTAAATGGAAAAATACATTGATATTCTGATGCAAACGATTGTATTGTTTGTTAGCTCGTGTTTTGAATAATACAATATGTATATAATTCTTGAAAACTAGTGATTTAGTTCGACGTTTATGAGATGTAGTTGAAGCGAACGACATCTTTATGAATTACTCATACTTATAGTCGGATTGAAAACTGTGTTTTATAAAGATGTCGCTCAGTATCAGAAAATACACCTTCCAAATTTTCACATATCAATGACAATCTGTCAATCTGTTATTCGTTCATGATCATTTCATTTCATGATCATGATCATGGTCAAAATTACTGCATCAATGTCTAAGATGGTTGCATTCAAACGTACTAATAAAGGGAAGTGAAAAATAATGCCATGTTATAAGTGACCTAAATGGCGCGGACATCAGAGAGCGCCTTCCGGTAAAGTGGGTGTTTGGGATGAATCGATCTTTTATCGTATGAATCGCTAAAATTGCAACTCTGAAGTCATTCAACACTGTTATCGGCTAAACTAATCTATAAATTAACGTACATTCATGAAAAAGGATCCACTTTGGTCTTTTAACCGCCTAATTGAGTACATTGAACGTAACTATTGTATATTACAGATAGTTAGGTATAACGTGCAGTAAAGCTGTACCTATTTAGGGAGTTTCATCCATGTTATTATTTCGAAAATAACATGGAAGATCATCGAACTACGAAACAAACCAAAACAAAAGTTAGGCATTGTACAAAAGTTTCTGCAAGAATTTAAGATTTTCAAGGTGGAATAAGTGAATTAATAGATGGAAAAACACTACTAGCCTCTCTTTACAGTACACTATGGTCCATCTCATATTTTACAATAATTAGTAATACCACTCACTGACAAGATTTTCCAAGTTACACATCGAAAAAAGTTTAAGTCCAAGAAAGTAACGGAAAAGGGCCAAAGTAACGCTTTTTGAAAATGCCTACCTAAAATTTACCAACGCTCGGTGGAGGAAAACTTAAGAGTACAAGAAAGTTACGGAAATCGGCCAAAGTTACGCTTTTTAAAAATGCCAGGCTAAAATGTTCGACACTTGAAGGAATAAACTGGCCAAGTAACGTGTTTTAACAACTTGGCATGGAAACAGTTAGAGTCCACGCGAGTCAACGAAAGTAACGTTTTATCGGCAAAGTACTGTGTTTTGAAAATGCCTACCTAAAAATCATCCATTCTTCGAGGAGAAAAGTTAGAGTCCACGAAAGTAACGTTTTATCGGCAAAGTACTGTGTTTTGAAAATGCCTACCTAAAAATCATCCATTCTTCGAGGAGAAAAGTCCAATAAAGTAACGTTTTTAAGGCAAAGTAACGTGTTTTAAGAATGCCTACATAAAAAATCATACATTCTTTGTGGGGAGAAGTTAAAGTCCGATAAAGTAACGCTTTATTGGCAAAGTACTGTGTTTTGAAAATGCTTACCTAAAAATCATCCATTCTTCGAGGAGAAAAGTTAGACTATAAAGTAACGTTTTTAAGGCAAAGTAACGTGTTTTAAGAATGCCTTCATAAAAAATCATACATTCCGGCATGTGTGGGGAAAAGTTAAACTCCAATAAAGTAACGTTTTATTGGCAAAGTACTGTGTTTTGAAAATGCTAATATAAAATCATCCATTCTTCGAGGAGAAAAGTTAAAGTCCAATAAAGTAACGTTTTTAAGGCAAAGTAACGTGTTTTAAGAATGCCTACATAAATGCCTACAAAAATCATCCATTCTTCGTAGAGTATGGTTAAGTATCATACATAAATGCCTACATAAAACATCATCTATAGTCATGTTTGACTTTCCATAATAACAAAACGAAAAAACGGTACTTTTAAAATGTCAATATTTTCTGTCCCTATATCTTGACACTGTTGATGGGCGTGTCTTATAATCAGGTGAATGTCTCAGCGTTCTCCAGAGGATTTTTTCTCAAGTGGGTGCAAAATTCTCATTTTCACAATTCAGACCAAAATTGGTCATAATAAACCCATTTTTCATGTTTTTCTCATTTTAAGTGGGTGCAAATAGATTTTTATTCAGGTGAGTGCCAGATTGCTTTCAAAGTCTCAGGTGGGTGCTGCACCCACTTGCTTTAATGTTGGGGAGATCAGTGTATCTGCACACAAGTATAATTAATATCTATTGCCTTGGGAGAAGAGGAAAAGTCAATAACATTTTGTTAGGAAATTTGAGCAATATCAAGTTTTCAAGCAAATAATTCTATTAATGAGACAATACTGAAATATTGACATTGTCGCTTGTAACATAGAGTACAGATCACTGAACAATAATTTGATATATGCTAATGCCCAGTTGTTATATCTGGTTTAGGATGGGATTATACTGGCTTACTGAGTGATAAAGTGTAAATGTTATTAATTTCATGTTCCCAACAGAAACAACAAACAAGCAAACAAATGAACAAACAAACAATCAATCAAGCTAGACTTTTCACCAATATATAACAATATGACAAAGGTTTGTTTTGGAATTTATGTCCTCCTTTGTATTTTATTTATGTACTTCCCATGTATGTATACATGGCATGATTGTGTGTGTTTGTTGTAGTTAATGATATACCATACATCACTGTAAACTGTCACAAACTAAATCCCAACAGAATGTGTAAGATTACACCTTATGGTGATGCTACAACATACATGCATGTTTATTGTTTATACAATTCACATGTTTCGAGCTGTATGATGAGCTACATATTACACATGCTATCTTGAGAGTATCTGGAGTTCTCACAGAAAGGATAAGTGTGGTGTTACTACACCACACACATACTTATAAGATAACGTATTATTATTATTATACAGTAGTATACTACATGTCTATTTATAAATATACAGCTTGTAAATAATACATGTGTTAATATTCATTAACATAGGAAAATACTATAATCAGTCTAAGCAGATCTCCAAGTTAAATATAAACATCTTCTAAGAGCAAAAATGTTAACAAAAATGATGAAATGGGGTTAGAGTGAGTACTATAGTAACATCACATTCCAGTACCCGGGGCAACTTTTTTCCTGAAAATGTGATATCTAACATTTTTGTATTACTGAAGAAAGTATCTAATTCACCTATTATAATGCAACATTTCTTGTTTATCTTATTAGTTCCTTTGTTGTGAAGGTGTTGCTATACAACTCAGACTCAAGTATAATTTCATAATGATTTAACATTTATTCAATTTCCTGGAATATCATTATGTATAACAGTCTGAACAATTCATGGTTGAGTTATTGAAAATACCCAATTTGAAGCCAGTCATCTACCTTGATAGCGCTTCTGCCCGCAGGTCGGCATTAGTTTCATATATTTTGTGGAAACTTTGCAGTCTTAGTAACGATACATGAAAGTACATTATGTAAAATTTTGAAGACGATTGCTGCATATTTAACAAAATGCCAGCACCAGTCCTGTTACTTTTGGAACACCCTGTATTGCGAACACCTTCAAATTGTGAATATCTCTCTATTGTATTAATGCAAATACCTTTTTTGCACACGTGTATTGCGAACACCTTCAAATTGTGAATATCTCTCTATTGTATTAATGCAAATACCTTTTTTGCACACGTGTATTGCGAACACCTTCAAATTGTGAATATCTCTCTATTGTATTAATGCAAATACCTTTTTTGCACACGTGGATTGCGAACACCTTCAAATTGTGAATATCTCTCTATTGTCTTAATACAAACACCTTTTTTGCACACGTGGATTGCGAACACCTTCAAATTGTGAATATCTCTCTATTGTCTTAATACAAACACCTTTTTTGCACACGTGGATTGCGAACACCTTCAAATCGTGAATATCTCTCTATTGTCTTAATACAAACACCTTTTTTGCACACGTGGATTGCGAACACCTTCAAATTGTGAATATCTCTCTATTGTCTTAATACAAACACCTTTTTTGCACACGTGGATTGCGAACACCTTCAAATTGTGAATATCTCTCTATTGTCTTAATACAAACACCTTTTTTGCACACGTGGATTGCGAACACCTTCAAATCGTGAATATCTCTCTATTATATTAATGCAAATACCTTTTTTGCACACATGGATTGCGAACACCTTCAAATTGTGAATATCTCTCTATTATATTAATGCAAATACCTTTTTTGCACACATGGATTGCGAACACCTTCAAATTGTGAATATCTCTCTATTGTATTAATACAAATACCTTTTTTGCACACGTGGATTGCGAACACCTTCAAATCGTGAATATCTCTCTATTGTATTAATACAAACACCTTTTTTGCACACGTGGATTGCGAACACCTTCAAATCGTGAATATCTCTCTATTATATTAATGCAAATACCTTTTTTGCACACATGGATTGCGAACACCTTCAAATTGTGAATATCTCTCTATTGTATTAATACAAACACCTTTTTTGCACACGTGGATTGCGAACACCTTCAAATCGTGAATATCTCTCTATTGTATTAATACAAATACCTCTTATACCAAACAACTAGTATTGCTGCTAGAAAATGAAAGTGTTCATATTCTGATAAGTGTTCAGTGAGTGAGACTGTGAGTGGCATTAACTGTGCTAGCCTTATAACCATTGATTAATAAAAGTTTCCTGTGGTCAATAAATAATTATAGATATTGCAGATTCTTATTATTGTAATTAGACTTGTTGTTTACCAGAAGAAGCCTGTATCCTCTGATTGTAGAAAGTACTTTTACAAATGTGAACTACAGTAAAACCTATTTAATCTGAACAACTCTCAAACTGGCCAAAAGTGTTCTATTTAGCAGCTGTTCACTTGTCAAAGTTTTTTGTGAGTCAGTGAGAGATTTGGAGACAAATTTCGACAAAAATGTTCACATTGAGAGGTGTTTGAATATATGTCACGTTTCACTGTCAAGAGAGTCTTAGATTGAGTGTTATTAATCCTGTATTTTTAGGTATAGATGTCGGTCATGTAAAAGCTGTAACTTGTGAACTTCTGGATCCAATACTTAACTGACGTGATCCTCCACATCATACTATAGAGAGAAAAGTAAGTAGAGGGGAATACCCAATTTTCTTTCATTTGACCTAACTCCTTAACAGGTATCTTCAGACTCTTTGATTTTAAGAGAAACCTTTAAACTCACTGAGCCAACCACAGTTTGTTGTCGAAAGAAGCATGACTTCCCCTATATGGGCATTTGTTGAAGTCATTATTAAACTGATCTGAGACTGATTGGTCGAGGAAATGTCAGTGCATTGGTTTTAATTGATTTATGACTGTGACAGAAACTGTCAGTGAGGGTCGGGCCACTGAACTATTCAGAGGTCATTTTTCAAGTAAACTATGTGGTCGGGGTAGGCAGGAATTGATTTCCAAAATTGCTTCTCACACCTTACAGTGGCAGATATGGGGGGGGGGGCTCCTCTTGATTTTTTGAAGATTAGGCTACAAATCCGCTTTCGCTTTTTACCAAACAAACAAAAAAGATTTTCTGATCATTTTTATTATTCATTTATTAGTTCAAGTTCTTTTTCTTCTGTGTAGTAAAAAGAAGCCTGAAGGATTTTTAATCTCCTAAACTTAACACTGAAGGTATCATTCCCACTGATTAAAAAAGACGAGTAGCAGGAACCATAAACCTATCATTCTGCAAAGAGCAATGTTTACCTGAATCCTTTCAGGATGATTTAGTTAGGTTTTCATAACATTCACAATATAAAATATACTCATGGCATTTAGAATATGAGCTGAAGTTATTGGAGAGTTTGAAAGTACACTATATTTAATCTAGTAGCATGATATAAAAGTGATATCAAGTCACATTTTATTCTTTCGAATTGCTTAAGGTAACAGGAAATCACCTTTGAAATATAATCTGGACATGAATGAAGGTATTAGTGATTATTAGGTTGTTATTATAGCATCATACAGGTGATGGGTGCTAAGTGCATGGATCTTAATTTCACTTGTAAGTTCTTCTGTTACATCATATATAGCTCAATTAATAGGTTCTATAATCTCTATATACCCTTTGCATTCGTTTGACTTCACTTCTTAAAAGAGAGCTTCATCTTCACTCTTTCAAACTAAAATAAACCTGTGAACTCACCGCGCCAATCAGTGTTCGTCGGCCAAATTTGACCAACATTCTTTATATGGTCATTCCTTCTGACGTCATCATTGAGCCCGGAATTGACCAATGACATGCGCATATTTAATTAGAATGCATTTGGCGTATGTTTCTTCAAGCTCGCTAGAGGACATAGGGGTAATCTCGGACACGGGGCATTGTCGGACGATCTTCAATAATTCTTTGTTTTATATGGTTTCTTTATTGAAACTTTGTATTAGACACATCATATTATAGATGTGGTGCTATATATTGTAAAAATTCTAACTTTGTCCCAGATTTGCACCTGATACCAAGGGTTTGTCCGGGAATGCCCCGTGGCCGAGAATGCCACGCAGGGTAATCTCTATACAGACTGGGACAAAATACAGTACAATTTCCATTGTTCGTAGATAGCATGAGATAAATGAATTTTTATTTCAGTTTTAATTTGTGTGTTGTTTTTTTGGCCCACCCTCTACAGTTCTGTATACCCTGTAGTTCTGTTATATCACTTAACACAAATCCCAGATAAAAAATAATCAGTGTTCGTATCCAGAGCTGTCGTATCAGCATATATCAGAAGTTTCAAGAGTTTCTGACAATAGACAAAATGATGTGAAACAACAGTGTTATTCAAATTCTAATATGAAAAGTAAAGTAAAATTCCATATAAAAACAACATGCATTTCTCCCTGACGCAGCGACTAAGATGAAACCCTCGAATATGACAGATGCTACTGACAATTAAATGCTGATTGTTAGAGCCTTTTAATTGAAGGATTTAATTATAATTTTACACTTGATCAAGCATTAGGGCATCATGACACTGGAATATTAAAAATATTTTTTTTTTAATATTGATTATCTGATTTAATTTTACTACATTTGTTGGTTATTGTATTAAGTAGTTTAATAATGTTTCTAATTATTGTGTGAACACATACCTTTTGGGTTTATGCCATGTAAAGCTGTTTGGTACATTAATTTTGCATTTGTACACTGTTAATGCAGAAATACATTAGTTGTAACTTGAAATTGATGGTTTCTTTCACTATTTTAACCTTAATTATCCCAACGAACGAAGTTCGGTAGGGATATAGTGAAGCCCTCCGTCCGTCCGTCCGTCAGTCAGTCAGTCCGTCCGTCCGTCCGTCTGTCCGTCCGGAAGATAACTCGAATACTATAGTAGACGGATTTTCTTCATATTTAGTGGAAAGATGTATATTGGCAAAAAAACGCAAAAAAAAATTTTTTCAAGATGGCCGCCGCTTTAAAAATGACTGGACTTTTTCGCAAAAATCATAAATCTTTCATTCTAAACCAAAGTAATTTATATTATTGTTTGAAATTTTGGTAGTATATTCACAACATTTATCTATTTCACATATATTCCGTGTTTTTCATCCTGACCCCCAGGGGCCGTGTATGGGGGGTCAGGAAAACAGAAATTTTCGCTAATTTTTAGATCTTTCTGAAGTATAGCTTTATTATACTCAAATGAAAAGCAATAAGGAGTAGATTGCAAATATTGTATCTTTTTTCTGATTCGAGCCTCGTAAAATTCAAAATGGCCGTCTAATGTACGATTTCGCAATAATTTTTCGATCCCTTCAAAGTATGGCTATATTATACTCAAATTGAAGGGTTTTTGGAGTAGATCACAATTATGGTATTATTTTTCAGATTTGTACCTCAGAAAATTCATAATGGCTGCTTTGCAGGAATTCGCAATTCTAAAATCTAATTTTTTCAATTTTAACCAAAGTAATGAGTATAATTGATTGGAATTCGGTAATTGATATTTTGTTCGTTGGGATTTGCTACTCCGCGGAGTTGCCGTTATCTAGTTAATAATATAATTAGCACAAGAATATATTTTGGATACAAATGTTTATTTTTTGAAATTATGGATTAGATCATTTCGGAAAATTACATTTTATGTTCAAGGATTAATCATGCTTGATTTCCAAGGATTCCTTTTGTAACACTGTTAGGACATGAGACACCAAGATATATGGCCTCTCTGGAAACATTACTCATTGGTGATTTTCTCATTTTTCATGGTTCAATGTCTTTCATAGTGAAAATCATTGTTATTGACTATCACTTTCTTTCAGAAATCTACTTTCCCTCAGTTTCCTTATTTCATTGATTGGCATAGAGGAAATCTACACCAAATCCTTTGTAAGCAGAATGAATTTGATATTTCTTAAATAGTGTTCCACTAACAGGGGTGTTCAACTTTATAAGTTTTACTATATTTATCTCTTAATACCCAAGTTATTTCTTCTTCTGCAATACCACATTGTTAAATATACCAACATGTTCAAAAGTTAGCAAGATTCATTTTTCTCTGGCTACCTTGAGGCAATATATTCCTTCCATGGCAGTGAGCCACCTTAAGTCTACAACCTAATTTACTGGAGGTTCCAAAGAAAAACTAATTGCTCCAGTGATTTGGTATCCTCATATACAATAGATCATTTCTCAAGTTGTTACAGTGCTCTAAGCTGTAAGTAATAACATCTAGTGAGGTATTGATATTCTCAGATGAGCCTCATGGAAAAGCAGTGGTGGCGTTAATTGAGCATCACTGTTTTGGAATAAAATCACATTTCGTTATTGACTTTTGATTGAATTGCAAATAAAGTGAGATTAAATGTAAATGGATCAGGGATAGATTTGACCATTGAATACATAAGATTGTACCACCGATATAAGTTACAATTCTATCATTATTTGATATTAATATCATGGCAAATGTATTTCGAATAAATGAGTTTTTCTGGTATTTGAATGGTACTATTTCCTTGTTAATAAGCTTTATTTTTGTGGGATTTGCTATAGACTTAATGGTTCCAGCCATTGGGGATTTCAATGCTGTATTATTTGTCAAGTCAGATTGTCTAATATCAAATGTCACTGATTACATGACACCCAATTCTTCAATTCATGTCATGTCACTCCTAGTTAGTTATTTAGGATTAAAGATTATTGCAGTCAGCTCCTGGGTCTGTAATGAGATTAATGATAATCACTGTTAGTATATCTACAGGGAGATCCCCGGCCCCATTGACAAAAATCCTGTCTCAGTGATGCAAATGCATGTATTTGATCTAGAATGTGTCAGCGTTATATAAATTATTACTTCTCTTTGCTCATCCTATTCCATTCCTTCATATATAAAACCTTCCATAATTCATGTTTATAGCCACTGAAATATATTTTTTTTATTGAAAGATAATAAAACAAAATTGTAATTCATATATATTTAAATAAACCATATTCTGGGAACAATTTAACAATGGTCAGGTCAAGGGATTCATTCCCAGCAGGCAACATGTTGTTTTCTCCCATTGTTTCTCTAAAATTGCCTGTTTTCAATATTATCAATGTTAGAATTATAATTCCATCACTTCTTTGCTTGTTGTTTTCATTCATTTCTGCCTTCAGTTATAAGAAAGTCTTATGAGAGGGTTTCATTAGCAGCAGGCAACAGGCAATCTTCGCTGGTTGTTTTCACAAAATAGCCTGTTGTTTTTAGAGACTTCAACTTTTCCATGTTATATTTATGATTTCCATTAATTTTGCCTCTTGTTTTCATTTATTTAGCCTGTTGTGAGAAATTCTAGTGACACCCCTGATGATGTTAGGAAAATTCATAAATCGTATCTGAGTGCATATATCATTGATAAAAGTCCCACATTTCAGTTTCACTAATAATCCAAAGTTGTTAGTAAATTAATACGCTGAGAGCAGTTTTAATTGAGGGTGTTCATTTGTGTAAGTGATTCGTTGTGATGCACCCACAATCTGTTGGAGATTGGCTGTATACGTTTTGGTTTAATGCAACCTGACTTTCACATCCTTTTTAGAATAGAAAACGCTGATTTTTTATTTATCGTTGTTCTTATTAACCATGGAATTCAGACAGTATTTGTATTATTCAAATATTTTCTCATTTTTCTTCTATTGAACTCATAAGAAAAATAAAATGAAACAGGTGTAAGATTAAGAAAGTTCACCTTTTATATCGTCATTCACATTTACTACAGTACCTCATTCCACAAATATGCATTACACCATTCAGTATCTTGTTTAATACGCTCATTCAAGTCTTCTTACAAAATATGTTAGTAATTAATTTTGATGATTTATGATGTAGAAGAATATTAAGGTTGTTGCTAGGCGTTTCAGTAGAACATTGTCAGATTTTATTAGTTCGACATGGCTGTTTTATGTTGAACACAGTGCCATCTATTGTCTGACATAGTACAAAGTACTCATTACCCTACCCAGCTTTTAGTACTGTGAAATATGACCACAAAGGCCTGTCATATTAGTAGAAGTGAAAACATGAAATAAATGTCAATTCTGATAGACTTTTATGTGTTTCACTTTATTATCGCCCTGTTACTATGGACAACCTACATGGTTCTCTTCTATCTTCATCTCAGGTTTGAACGTTTAATTATTTTATAATGAGGCTAGATCACATTTTGATGCAGGACGATTTTCTGACAATTATAAGAGGCTTATCTTTTTCTGACATTGTGACAATCAAATTGCTTTAAATTGTGACAATCAAATTGTTTTAAATTGTGACAATCAAATTGCTTTAAATTGTAAAACCTTCATATTATACATATTACTGACACAGAAGATTCTAAAGAGAGTCTTCAAATAGTGACACTCATATACAGATTATAACACACCTGATTGCAAACTAAACTTACTGATTATTATGTGATTCTTGTGAAACCCACAGTTCCAACATTGTGACACATATATGTTTTTACAATCTGACAACTTTCACTAAGTTTTTTAAGTTTTTAAAATTGGGCTTATTGAATTTTACATATGATACCCACCAGCGGATCTAGAGGGGGGCGTGGGGGGCGCACGCCCCCCCCCTAAAAAGTCGGAAAATTCGTGTTTTGCCTCATCGCTTTTTACAAAATTTGACTCTTCACTCACAGTTATTATCACACGCCCCCTCTAACACAAAATTCTGGATCCACCCCTGATACCAAATAATTTCACTATTATGAAGGTTCATATATTATCTATCACCTTGGTTAACAATGTAGTTGTTTATTCAGCAGTAAATATGTTGTATGTTATATGATTGGATATATCGTGCATTTACGTGCTTACCACGTGCAACATAATAATTATGAAATGTATAGGAAATAAGCAGAAATAAAATCAAGTATTTATCAAATCATTAAAAATATGAAAATTTTACCTGAATTGGTATTATACATTAAAAAGCACTCAACAGTGACGAATGAAATTACAGTAAAACTTGCATAAAGCAACTACTTTGGGCATCACAGAAGGTATTACTTCAAGGAAAGTTTTCATATAGACGTCACTGAGTATGATCTGAGAAATCATGTTTACTAAATTTTCAGGTGTTCACTAAGATAGGTTTAACTGTATATTTGTACACCATTAAGGATAAAGACAATTTAACCTACATATTTATATTTCTGAGTAGATATCGGTTTATTCTAATTTTGTTTAAAACACTCTTTGAAACACAGTGTAGTAGTGTTGTCGCGATGTGGCATAATCGTACATCGATACATCGGCAATTTTCAGTAGTAAACATCGATGCACATCGCGATGTACATCGAGAAAAAGTTCGAGAAAAGTGCACTAAAATACTGAACGCTAATGCACTAAAATACCGAACAGAACAAATTAATAAGAGTACGGTGGTACATCCGGGAACTTCTAGTAACGGTGAAATGAAAGTAAAGTTGTTTTTTTTAGATTAATGGTTCATTTCGACTAGCTAAAACAGTTTTAAAGCGAAAGAGTATCAGAAAACATTGGAAAATGTAATAAGACATGAAAAAAGGTAAGCAATTTGCGTCAAAATAAGATAAGAAAGGGCGATTTTTAGCAAATTTATTTTTTTTCAAAAACATCGATGTTTTGTTTCAGACATCGATGCATCGCCAGAACCAGCTTTGGCGATGTATATCGCGATGTATCGATTAATCGCGACAACACTACAGTGTAGTGTAGTGTAGTAAAAATGCAGAGCTCAATCAGCCCATCATAGCGCAACCATTTAGTCATAAGTTTATAAGAGCTTTTTTTAATGGCAAAAAATAACTTCAATTTATTTTGATAAACAATGCGATTCCAACATTGTGCCAACACTAGAGTAAAAGTACATTTTATATTTCCTGACCATAAGATCATATACTTTACTACTAAGATAATTCCCACCTATGGAGGCTCATGAGATTTCATCAACTGTTCCTATATTTGCTAATAAAACCATTACTCGTGCAAATATTAAGGTTGTATTATTTTCTGCTGCAGATCATCCTGACTCGAGGAGCTAAGTAACTGAAAAGAAACATACATTGAAGTGAATGATTATAAATGCTATAGAAACAGTCAGGTGCACAAGATCAAGGTAAGACATAAACATGTATTAAAATAATTATTTTTTAAAATGTGAGCTAAATGAATTATAGTGTGGAACAACAGCTTTGGTTGATGTTAGAGGCAAATCACAATGATGATTTTGATAAAAAGTTCAAAATTGTTTTTTTGTTCTCTTCCACTTTGACTCTTCATCAATTTTCAACTCTATCAGATGAAAACCGATATAAACATAGGGTCTCTCTCTGGATATCAATGAAATGTTCATCTTTGATATGATTGTGGTACTTGATGTCAGATAATTGAAGATAAAAAATGATACTAATAGAGTATATTGTTATGGTTCATGTTTACTGGATAAGTTGAATGCCATCAAATGTGATTTTTGTGTTATACTATAGTACAGCACAATAGATTGATTTTTATAGGCATAGTATTATATTGTTTATCCTATGTTTTGTACTTTATGAGTTCACACTATTGTTAAACATTAATCCAGTTATTGTATCATCCTCATATCATATGCTATTGGCTCACACGGTGAGCCTATGGGATCGACCAGGCGTCCGTCCGTCTGTCTGTTGGTCCGTATGTCCATCCGGCCGTCCGTTGGTCTGTCCGTCTGTCAACATTAGCCGCACAAATTAAAACTGCTATCCAGATTGAGTCATATCCATATTCATTTTATGCATATCCACACCACTGTGTGATTACAGGACCGTGGGTCCTTGATTGATAATATTGGAATGTTCTATACAGTTTCAAAACTCATCTCTGCTGGATGTAATTTGTTCTCATCAGATAGTTCACCCCCGGGATTTTACGAAAAGAATGATTGATCACATCATTGAAGGAATTGGGGTGGGGCTGCTAAACTGTAATAAAGTCAACACTAGGCAGAGGGTAGTCTATAAGTAGACCCTTTGCTCAGGTTATAATAGTTTGTATCAAAGTTTGTTAATTGGTGCAAGTCACAGGTTATTCTGAATTTATTTCAATTTTTGAATTTCAATTGAATTTTAGTATCATACAGACACTATATTGCCTTTAAATGTGTCAATAACCTAAAATGTTTTTTTATCCATAATGATAAGTAACTTACACAATTAATAGAATTTGACACAAATCTCCTTTTCTGTAAATATCAAAGAAAAAAACAAATGTATTCTAAACTTATAGTATGACAAGTTCTAAAATGAAAAGACTACTCGTAACATTTTCAATTTAAATTAGTTTTCTATTTGAAATATTTTTTTACAGAAACTAATTTTAATATCCAAGTCCATTGATTGTGTAAGTTGCATTCTGAAAAATATATTTTAACGTCATTAAAGATGAGAGTTACTGGTATTTGCTCTTTAAGAAAGGATACTTCTTGCCTGTGCTTGATCTTTATACTACGGTTGTATCTACGATGTGACATTATGGGGATCTGAAGCTCTGAAGTTCAGCCTTATCATGGATTATCTTGTCCGGTGTCATCAGACATATTCCAATATACATCATCATCTTCTATTTATGGAATGTTACTTTTATATAAAGTGACAGCTTTGGGATGTCTCCGCCTAATCTGTCTTTATTTTAGCAGTGATCTGTAAGACTTGGGATTTGTTTTAAGACTAAGATTTATCAAGAGATATGATCTAACACCGTGGATTCGTAGGGAAATAAGGTCAAGATCAGTTCATAAAAACATCATTAATTATAGAACTAGAAAGAATTCATCATCATGAATATATCCATGATGATAACTGCGCCACCTTGTTTATGTCTTAAGAGATGAACTCTGGTTGTATATTATTGCAAATGCTAAATGCTTATCCTTAATCAGATCTTGTTTACAGCACAAATATAAATGAATCATTGATATTGACTATTCATGAGAATCTGTGTGATGTATCAATCAAAAGACTTTAAAAAATAGACTTCTGTCAAAGTCCTAGTATGTAACACTTGGCTTTTCAAGGATTTTTTCTTTATGAAGCATGGATCAGAGGCCCATTGGTATTAAGAGGATAAGAGGTTGAAGTTTGTCATCATGTCTTGGTATAACGCTTATCTTGCGTTTTTGAACTACATGTTGCAAAATGTGAATTGCAACTAACGTAGATAGATCAACAGAAGTCAATGAATGAGCTCAAATAAAGATTTGTGCAATCAAAAGACCCTTTACAATGAAAAAGTCCATATGAGGAGCTTCATCTCACTCAACTCATCTAAAAAGCCAAACAGTTTCCATCATCATATCTTGCACTTGATGGCATGTCATCTAATCAGTATTGTGGCAACTGTTTCATTTTACTACATGTAAGGAATGTTTAACTGTTTTATGACATATTTTGGCCCTTACATGACTTCAGTGGTCTTCATATGGCCCATCTTGGTCAATTGAATCATGACGTCCTAATTCCAAGATATGTTTTGTTAATTGTTTTCACAACAATCTTACAGTTGCCGTTAAACTCTGTGATTACCAAGGAACCAATAACCAAAACTAAAAAACCAAGGAACCAATAACCAAAACTATAAGATATGTATGATGTTACTGATCTAGGGGCCGTTGATCTTCATATATTATGTTATTATTATGACCATTAACAGTTAATGGGGGGTCCGGGGACATCCGTCTCGGAAAAGTTTTGATTTTAGACCTTAAATGGTGCATGCACCTGATTTGTGTATGCAAGCCTATGTATTGCCTTGGTATTTCCTCCGATTTTCACTACGGCACTGGGCCGATTGAGTATTTTGTTCAAAATTGAATACAATATTGAACAAAACACTCAATCGGCCAGGCACCGGCCGATGGATCGGAGGAAATGTGACCCAGGCATAACAAGCCTAAATGTATAAAAGCCTATTTCTAACATGCCTAATTAATTAGCTATATTAATCTTTCTTCTTGGCCTACTTAAGGATGTTATAGTTTGTGACATATACATATGTCAAGGTATTCAATCTGGCAGACTCTTGATATACAAGTATATCTTTTTTAATCCCAAAGGTTTACTTAAAGTTCTACTGTTTGATAAAATACCATGGTTAATCTCCAGATTTGTGATTTCAGTTTGCCGAATGCAACACTCTAATTAACAATGCAGGATTTGTATAATATATTGCCCAGTATATTTCAATGAATGGTATTGGCATTGCATAATATATCACAATATAAAATGAGATAATGGGCTGTTTGATTGTTTTTGCTTTCTGTATGGGAAAAGATATTGCCGATTGTGGCTGACCGAGATATATTGTTCTGATCCTTTGATATATTATACATAAGAGCTCCCTTGTAAGAATCAAAGTTCATCTCTTGCATAGACAGAATCCCCTCTTTGTTCAGTAATCCATCTTTTTCTTTCTTTTGTAATGCATTAACTTTCAAGAATTTAGTAATGAACTGCATAACTTTGTAAAATCAATAGAAATTCTCTACATTTGTGTTTATTGATTTTGACTCTTCATTTATAAGACACGTCTCTAGTTTACTGCCAAGAAATCTGAAAAAACTTAACAAACTTATAATAACATTTTTATTGATTATGTGGGCTTTCAAATGTATTGAGCAGATGTATCCTCTAATTACTGTCAATATCTAATGAACAGCTGTGACAGGATCCCAATATAGAAATACATTGGAAAGTTAAGTTGGAAAGTTATATAATTACACATACAATAACTGCAATCTTGACTCCCCTATCAGTAAAATATAACAATGGTTACATTTTCAAACATAAAATTGAGTTAATGGGTTGAAATATCAACAAATGAAATACATCTGCTTGTAGTTAGTTCTCTGAATTGTATGTAAATGCTTGAAAGTGAAGGATAGCTCTTTCAAATTTGAGAGAGAAATTGTTAGGAAAACATAGGGTAGATTGATAATTTACTTAGGCTGTATATTGATTGATAAGAGGCCTGACTATCTTCAGACCAATTGATGATGTGGCAAGAAAGAGTTAGGAAATGTTTAGACACATATTTCTATAGATGTAAGTACATACTGATATATATTGTAATATCACTTTAGACCAATGGTCAAATGTTTTATAAACAATTACTGTTTTGTTTTTTGAGATATTCTTTTATATTGAAGCATGGGTTGAAAGCCCATGATTGAAGTTTGGAAGTTTTTATATCACATTCTCTTTAGTCATCGAAGTTATCACAATTGGAAGATTAAAAATCATGTTGATTTCCCCAAATAGTTTAATATTCAACTTTCTATCCTCTGTCAGGAGCATCAGTTTAAATAAACACCATATCTACAAGGTCAGAAGTCAAAGGTCAAGGCCAAGGTCGTAGGAACATATTGAAAAACCTAACCATCTTGCGATTGTGTACCAATTTATTGACATGTAATGTAAAACAGTACTTTCTAATAAAGATAATCTTGATGTCCAAGTCACACAGTTCTTTTTATGAAGATAATCTTGATATCTTGTGATTCTAAGCTTAGTTGACCAACTGCAGGTTTCCAGTATTATCAGCTTACACATTAGATTAGCTGATGCTATAAAAGTAAGCTCTATTGTTTTACCATGGTGATAAGAGAATTTATGTGATAAAGATTATCTTTATTAACCCATCTCCATGTCCCTTGGAAGTAACCTATTCCATGATCAAGTCTGACTCTAATCTAGAGATTGACATTCTGAAGTTAACACAGGCTTTCTCTCATTTTGCAGAATCTTCGCTAATGCTGTTACATTGACATTGAACAATCAGGATTATTATTTATTTCAACTGTATATGCAGAAAAAAGTATTTCTTTAAGGATTTATTCGACTGAAACTTAAAATGATGTCATACACTATTTTATCTTTGATTTAAGTTTTGTCTCTCAAATCTGAATTCGCCTCAAATATTTTTGGGATGTTGGTAATTCCACTAGCTTCACAAATGACAACATTAAACTACAGTATGAAGTAAATGTTCTCTTCATATATCCATGTGGTTAAAAAGAAATAAATTACTCTAGAAACGTATTGTCTGGAAGGTTGATTCTTAATGGAAATGATGAGTATGAAG